ACACGCCTGTGAACATCAGGCCAGAACTTCCCTGCACTCTCATACTTTTGGTTGTACACATTTATAACCTGCAAATGAAGCCTTTCATTGTTAGTCAACAATGCTTAAACTCTGGAGGAATAAGGAACCAGGACGATTCAGTTATCTCTCACCTGATGACGGTACACTACGTAAGCCAGGCCAAAGAAGACGATGATAAAGGGAAGAAGGATGGGGCTAACTGCTGCGTAAACGAGACCAAGAAGGAAGTAGAGTTGTATTTGAGGCTCACCAGTGTTGAATCCTATGGTTCCAGGATCAGTTGCTTCTTCTCTATCGTTCTCGGTTCTCACGAGGAAAGTGTTCTTTAGATGATAGATTATGAGCGGCTTCAACCTCAGTATCTCCCCAGCAACACCTGCCCATCCATCCACCATTATATATGTTATAAAGAAGGTAGCTTTCATTGGAATCGAGACGCCAATTGTCTTTGGAATACTGCAGAAGAAAGCAAGTCAGAAAGATATGAGATTTTCTTGGTGTAACATAGAGCCAAGAAGAGTTTTTAAAAGAACATACTCGTTTGCAGACTGGTTAAGGAAGCTGTTGAGCTGTTGAAACGCAGTCCCCGTGACTATGCTTCCGAGGAAGACATTGATGAACTGGAACATGTAGAATCTACTTGCGGATCTTCTTTCTAATGAGGATGTGCTTACAAAACCTTCGAACTTGGACATTTGCATCAGTATTCTTGGGAGGAAAAGGAGAAATATCTTCAAGGCGATACCAGGAAGAAAGCCTTGGATGATCGACTTTAACAATCTCCTGTCCAAGGATGACCAGAAAAAAAGCGTAAGAGATTCTATCAACAGAGGCATATCCATGGAGATTAAGACAGAGACATACACTTCAATAAGGGGCTTCAAGAAAGGAAAAGCCTTCTCTATCCCTTCAATGTTGGCGAGTGACTGTACAAATGCTATTGGGATCATGAAGAAGAAGGTGAGGAAGAAGTATGCTACTGCGACTATGATCCTCCTAAGTTTAAGGTCTACATATGGCAATGCCAGATTGTCATAGTAGATGTCACGTGGCTCTGCAGCCCACTCGGTTATCCACTCTGTTGGGTCTCTTGACTGTTGAGTTTGAGCACAAATCGCTGCTCCCCAACGGCTCTTGAAAGATACAAAAGCAGCAGGCACTATGGACTTTGTGCCAGTCCTTAACCTCTCTTTCTCCTCAGATATCTGAAAACATCCAAAGCAAGTTTGAGTAAATGTTTCAAATGAGGATGAAGATTAGAAGCAACAGAATTAAGTAGTTGAGATGAACGCTTTACTTCTCTTGTTAGACTCTCAACCATTGATGTGTAGTATTTGATTCCATCAGCTTCTTCACCGCAACAGCCAAGAAATCCCATCTGCTTGTAGACATTGACAATGAGTCTTAAAAAGAAACAAGAAAAGGAGAAACTTAAAGCTTCTGCAGATGTGAGTTTACCTTTATTACTGGCCTTTTAGATAGCGTTCTCATGTGTTTGTTATTATTGTAATCGAGCAGATTCTGCATTTGTTTCCTCGTCTTAACCAATTCTGAGAGTTTGGTTGCATCGTGGACTGCCTGAGTTAAAGCAGATGGAGAATCGTCAAACCAGAAATTAAGTCAGAGATGGAGATATCAGAAAATCCAAAAAGATGATTTTACCTGGAAAGTGAGGTACTGATCTGGATGGTTGACCTTAAAGAAATGTTCAACAAGTTCACAGATTGATTCATGAGGATCTGTAGGAATGTTTCTTACCAGCACCTAACATTGATGGAAACAACCAGGCATTCAGCTTTGAAGGGAGTGATTTTATCAGACACCAAACTCAAGAGGATCAAAAGATTCAAAGTTTCATTACAGTGAACTGGTTAGGTCTCATTTGGTCATTTGCAAGAAACTGTAGCCTCATCAAAGCTATATTCTGGTACTCTCTTTTCAGCATGAAGCATGTCCAGAATGTGATGACATAAGCCATACACAGATGCACCCAAAATCTACTGGAACATGAAGACCAATAAATTATCATATTTAACATTACACTCTTGCAACAAAAGAGAAAATTTCACCAAATTGGGAAAAGTATCTCTCACCTCGCTGATCCATTTGGTATATTTGATAAAGATAGTTTATCAATATCACTGTAAGTTAAATTAGAGTGCTTTAACCGATCCAATCCTTTGTTTGTCCAATTAACAGGCACCATTGCTGTAAAAGCAACACAAGCTATTGGGAAAAAGATCTTGAGCCTGCAAAATTTCCATCAAAAACAATGTCGTCAAGTAAAAGGCTTTAGAGAAATTTAGGAAAAGAGCTTTGAAAAAATATATATACCCGAGTAAGTAGATCCTTAAGTAGACAACAGAATCGAGTCCTGCGTGATCGACAAGCTCGGGTTCAGGCATTTTAAGTGCCTCAGGCATCCAGTTTAGGAATCGAACATAGGACCTGAAGTCCAAGTTGATGAATTTGCTTCCAAAGCCACCGGTTTGTATAGAGCTACTTCTTAAGCCCTTGAGATACCATTTAGGGAAGTAGACTCTGTCATTTACTGGTTGAATCCTGAGTATTGCAAAAGCTATTAAGAAAGCAATTGCTGTGACTATATTGATTGCTGCTGCTACTCCAATATCGTTTATTGTAGCCATGAGATTAAGAAGATAAATACTGTCTTTATCTACCTGAAAAAGAAAGAAATGGATTCAAAGGAAGAAACACAGAATCAGACAAAACTGGGGAATCATAGACTTTGCAAGTTGATGTAATAAATTTAAAAAAAAAACAAAAAAAAAAAATCTAAACTTTCTCTGTTAGTGGTTGACCCAAAGAGCATCGAAACAAACAGGAGAACCATAGGTCACAGTCACAAGAACACTGAAGAAACCAGATTCGCTTAAAAGTAAAGTGAAGAAACCAGCTTTAATAAAAAAGAACAACAAAAAAACAAGATTCTCTTCCATTACCTTCTGAAAGAGCTAAAAAGACAAAGCTCTCGTGTTCTTGTAATAAGAATTCAGGCCAAATTGGCGAAGACAGAACAGAGGAAGAAGAAGAAGAAGAAGGTCGTGTATCTGGAGATTTACTGAGAAAAATCAGTTTTTTTCTTGCCGGGTTTTAGGAAATATGTCTGAAGATTCGTTCGACTAAAGATTACTGCGAATTAATTGCTTAAATCCGTGAAGAAACTGTTGCGCACTTGGCAAAACGTGAGCCTTCTGTATTTATTACAGGAAATAAAAAAGAAAGAAAAAGAGATTTCCTTGAGAAATTAAGATGCCCTTTGATATGAAAGAGACTCAAGAGTAAACTAAAACCGTGACCAAAAGAAAAATGACAAGAAAATAATAGTAAGCACTCATAATTTGGAGTGTGTTTTGGAATCGTCTCCCAACGTTTCTTTTCCGTGTTTTTTTTATGAATAATGATTTATTGGATTTTCGTTTGTTTCTAGTGCATAAAACAAGTGGCTATGATCATTTATTGGCTTTCTTGATTAAAGCTATACTGTTAAAAATACGTGGATAATACAAAGTTTATGGACCCGCCATAAAGAGAAAGAAAGACGGTTAGTTTTTAGTACTTTTTAGCAAGTGTGAACTAGTTTACAAAATGTCACAACCACTATATTGAGATTTTCTATCTTTTTAAATAGTTCTTTTCGGTGGATAATTCAATATCATAAAAGTCGGTATCCAAATATATAAAGATTTTGGATTGCCAAACTGCATTCCCGTATTTTAGTGGGGTGGGTTTTGCCAAAATACTGTATAGAATTCAGAATTTTCCTGCTAAGATATCGATTATTTAAATATTTTTTTTGTACGTATTCTCTTGGTTCTATTCTCCAAGAAAATCTTTGAATGGTACAGTTAATGTTCTTAACTATGAGTGTGTTAAACTGTTAACTTGCCGTCAAGAATAATAACCTTCAAATTAGTGTCATGTTATTTTCTATGTTTTTTATTATCATAAATTTTAAATGCAAGTAACTACTAGACCAAAATTAGTTTCTTTATATGAATGTTGTCGCTATATTCCCACTCATACAAATTTGGTATAATGTTCTTTACTACTCTAATAATGTACTACTGCCATTTCTATAACTACCACTACTAATTAAATATGTTTCGAGCTATAATAAAGGTAGAGGCCTTGAGGGGAATATAATATTAATTAAATATGCGTTTACTCCTTTTAGAAAGAAAGATCTGGATCCACTTGAATAAAACCAAGAAATTAATATTTGTTTAATAGCTATTACACTACGTACTAATGGAAACCAGTAAAAAATTCCAGAACGAAGAACGAAAGAATGCGTGGTCAAAAGATGATCTGAAATTGAAAGCAAAATTTCAGCTTTACAAAGAATACCGTTTTAAAAACAATTTTTTACTTCTTCTTTTAACAAATATATCATTTTACAAAAAAAAAAATCAGTTTACACTTGGTTTTTTTATTTCAAAATTAATTTACTTGAATTTTCACTTAATTAATGTTTTATCCCTTATTCAAAACTAACAATTCTAAAATTTAATTATTTACATTGAATTACTGGTATATGAAAAATTGTTTATTTGTATATTTCTTATATAAAAAAAAAGTAATCTGCGTGTCAAATTTTGAAACGGAAAGAGAGTTATTTTGTTTCAAACTTCCTTTGGATAACTTGCAAAATACAAAAGCTCTTCTTCGTCATTGCTCTATTTTCAACCACAGAAAAAAGTGGACTGAAAGATATATCAAGAAACTATCACCAAGCAAAGTTGGTCTCTCGATCGAATAATTTAGTAAACAATCACTATCAATCATTGTCCCACTGTGGTATATATACTTACATACTAAGCTTCATTGTCTCTTTTTTTTTTTTTTTTTTGGGGTGTCCTACAAATTTTCGACATATTTGGTAAGTAAAGAAACTAGACATTTGAGGTCTCTGGGCTCTACTCATCCGTAAGTGAAAGAGACCTTTTTGTTTCGGATTTTGACTCTCAAGAATCATAAATAATACAAACTGCTTACAAATGGATTTGCTTCCCTGTTCAAACAACTAACAATTTTTCATCATTACAAGCATTTTTCTTCTCCATATCAATGGCGGAAACCGAATTAGCTACTCTTGCCATGAACAGCAATCTGGTGAATGTCCATCTCCTTGAGCATCACAGATCGACCACAAGAGTCACAAGGAGCTGTTCTTGAACCACAATTACTCTCATGTTCAGACATTCCTCTCATCCTGTCTCTAGCATCAGCTGCAGAGTTACCCGCTTCCACCATATCTCCACAGAACCTGCACGCGATTAACCGAAGAGGACAATCTCTTGCTTGATGTTGAACCTGCATCAAAATCGCAAATCTCAGGTTAAAAAAACAGAAACACAACAAAAGGTAAAATGTTAACTACTCGTGTATATGACCATTTAGTATACGCACCATCTGTTCTTTCTCCAGCACTATCCCGCAGCCACAGCTGAGTGGTTCATGGAAGACTTTCAAATGTTTCTCCATCTCTGTTGGCTGCAAAGCTTGCCCACATTTTTCACAATGCAAATGGTTTTTCGCCTCCTCAACTCTGAGAACGATTCCACATCCCGGATGATTACAAACAACGTTGTGTCTGCTACAATACACCTCGTGCAACGCAATACTCCTGCTTGGAATTGAATGCTTACAGTTCCTACACTCTACTGTATCGACATCTGATGAAGATGATAAAGCCCGTTCCCCAACCTTAACTCCATCGCTGCTTTCTTGAACTAGGACCGAAACTTTGTACTCGACTGTTCCTTTGAAGCCGTAAACACCTATACTGTAAGTCCCTGAGCTTAAAGCTCTCTCCTTTGATCCCAAGATCAAGGTCTTTGAACCCACGTCGTGTGAAGACCACTCGTGTTGATTAAGAGAAGGGAATAAAACTGGGTGCTTTGATACATAGAGATCAGTATCCGCTCCATCTTTTTCCACATCTATCTTTACAATAACTTTGATGTTTCCTGCAACTACCTTCTCTACAATAGCCTCGTCAATTGCAAACTTATAATAATCATATCGTCCTTCCTCAACTGTTCCGGACTCGGATTTCCCAAACTGAAGCGGCTTCAACACATGCTGATTCGGTTGATCCGAAACTATATCTGGACTAACTATATCAACCTCAATGTCAGTCTCCAGAACCGAAATGCTCGAGGCAGGTTTTAACTCAAGAACCTGTAGCTTGTAAGAGACCTGACCATAACTTACAGAGAGAACATCGTCTAGAGAAAGTGTAGCATGTTGACGAAGAATAGTTTCGAGGATGGCTTTGTGATTTGGCAAATCTGAGAAACCAAGGTTGTCTGGTTGAAGCTTTGCGTAGCTGCCTTTAGGAAGACGGATATAACGAATCTGCACCAAAGGAACATCCATTGGTTCATGTGTTGAGAACAAGTTGCTCCAAACGTGTGGAGGAAGCCCAACGGTGCCATCTTCAGCAGTAAACTCAAGAACACCAGAGTGTGTTGTCTTTTGATTATCAGTGTGGTCAGCTACAGAGAGCTCAAAGTACAAAGGACCTTTATTGAAAGCTCCTTGATCAGACAACTCCGTGAAACACGATGGAGGCAGTTTTATCTTATCACCAATGCCTTGGAAATGAACAGCCTGGAAGACTCGTTCAAACACTATACCTCCTCCAGCAATTAAACTTTCTTGCATATGTTGATCAGCCTGGAGACAGGATCAATTCAATAATCAGAGAGAACACAATAACAAACTATCAAGCTACCAAAAATTTGCAGTAAGCTAACAAATATAAAAAAGATGGTCAATTTAGATCTTACGAGCTTCAAAGCAAGATGGGTCAATGTCAAAAATTAGTTATACGCATCAAAATCTGCTATGTTCCCAAAGGAAGAAGACTCATTTTTTTCTATAAATACGAATCATAAGATCTAAATTAGAATGCCAATTGCAGAGAATTATTAAAACCGATTCTCGAATCAACAAAATCCCAATTTTACCAGTAATCCAGAAACCTAGGAGAATCGAATTCTTAACTTCCAAAACCAACGATAAGAGCAGCGTGAGACTAGCTAGATACGGACCTTAATCTGGGTTTCAATGGCGTCAAGCCTTCTGGCTCTCTGAGAAGCTTCAATGGCTTCGCGTTGCCTTTTCGCAGCATCCTTTGCTTTCTTCTCTCGTTCGAGCTTCAGTTTCGCTCTTTCTTTCCTCTCTCTCTGCTCTCTCTCAAGCTTCTCCCTCGCCGATCTAAGCTCGAAATCCATCTTTGATAATTCGAAAGGTTGGTGAAAACACAAAGATAAAAAAAAAAATGAAGTTGAGGAAAAAAGGAACCTTTTTTTCTCTCTTGTTCTTCAAGAAATATACCTGAGACGAGACGAGACATCTTACGATATTTATTAATTTATTAAATTTCTAATAGTCAATTGAGTTTCTGGAACGATCTGGGCCACTCTTGAAGTCCTTTACGGCCCTGTTACAATCTTTGAAACCCAATCAACAAGTCACAAATGCAAAATAATCATCATGCGTTTTTAGCAGAAAATTAGCAATCAATCCAGATGTAATTTATACTAATCACACTCACACAGATAAAAACCAACCTGCTACTTAAAAACATAATCGCATTGGCCGAGATAAAAAAAAATTCTTACCAGAATAACACACTTTTTTCTTTTGATAAAATATTTGTTTATTGATTACATAAAAATAAAAATATTACAGAGCATAGAGGACCCAATGACTAAGTAGCTCTTTAAAACACACTTTAAAAATAATAAATCCTAGATGTTCTAATTTTTTTCTTTCTATAAGTCATTGTTAAAAACTATGATTACGAAATTATAAAAATATTTTAGTCAACTAGTTAGTCATACTTTATGTTTTTGATTATCAAAATATTTGAATATCTCTTTTCAATTACTATGATCATATGACAAGTCATTTCCTCTTAGTCTTGTCATTATCATCCACCACAAAATATTGTCAAATTCATCGATAACTATGTTCATGATTTTCTTTGCATTTTTTAGTTGATGAGTATACTCGCTTTTTAGAAAAAAATTGTGTGAGAAATTATGACTATAAATAGTTATAGTTTAAGATCAATTTTAGATTTATTTTTATTTTGGTTTTGTTTTCTATAGATTTTAGTTACTATGGATCATATGTTATTAGCCAAAAAGAGAGGAAAATAAAGAAAGAAAACTGATGATGAGAAAAACCACACAATATGGTTTTTAGTATTTCTTTCAAATTTAGTTAGAAACACTCAAGAATTTGTATATAAAATTGCACGAGTTCTGAACAAAAAAAGTGTACAAGCATTAAAAAACGCTATGACTAAGTATTATAAAGAAAAGGGGGTATGAAAGATATGCTAACATTTACATAGTTTCAAAAAATCATCAATCATCAATTCATGGAGGCTTTCATGTGTCCATGATCCTAGAAAAATCTCTAAAACATTATCTTTCAGCCATGTTCATGTTTGAAATAAAAAATGATGAAAGAGAAATGTTGAGAGTTGAAAAAAATAAAGGAGAAATGTTGAGAAGTTCATGGATGTATTCAATTCGTTGAATACACTGGCTTGGGGATGAGTGAGGCTCTAGAATGAGTGAAAGTACATCTCCTTGATGCTCAATCTTCTAAATTTATAGAGGTGACAAGATCCACAGCCACAAATGTCCAGCATAAAACTGAAAAATAAAGCAAATAGAGAAATAAAAAGGAAGAGAAGTATTTACAGTGATTTGAATCAAACCTTATGGCAAAAACCAAATAAAAAAACGTCTAGTTTCTGTTTCTCTTCTAATCATATGTTTTAGTGATTTGAATCGAAGTGATTTATGGTGAAAATATTGGTCTTTAACGAGTCCAACTATCTTTTCTTCTCATCTACGATTAATCAGCTCACGTGCTAACAAAATCTCTGAAACATTTTCTTTCAGCCATGTTCATGTTTGAGATAAAGAAGGATGATGGAAGAGAAATGTTGAGAGTTGAAAAGAATAAAGGAGAAATGTTGAGAAGAAAGGAGAGTTAAAGATTAAACTATGTTATGAACCAAAAAAACAATATACTAACTTTTTAATTGTAAATTTGGTTAATATTTTCTGTGTAATCAGTGTGGGGCTCAAATCTTTTCCAACTATAAATTTATGAATGAAAGAAAAGTAAATAAATGCAAAAGTAAGATACACCAAATATAGTATGTTGTTGGTATAACAAAAATACATTACACATGTATCGCTTGGAGTTGACTCATTTATACTTATGGACAATTTGCATAAGAAATTTGTTGTAAAACACAAATCATTATTTCACCAGTATGATCTTTTATACTCGTACCTATATATCTTTCTCAAATTATATATACAAGTTTCTTATAATAATCCTATTTTGTTAATTGAAAAATAAGAAAAGAATGATCATATAACATTAGAACATGCTTGTCACATTCCATATATATATGGCAGTAAAAGCTGAGCATTTTCATTTATCAAAATCATCCAAAATCATCAGTATAAGTATTCCAACAAAATGTTTGTTATGTATCATTCATTATCACTGTCATGTTTATCAGCAGAATCATTCCTAGCATTTTATAGATCATAAACAACCATAATAACATTCTAATTTAAATAAATATTCATTACCATTAAAATTTCAATATTTTTTTGATATACTTTTAGTGCAAATAACAATTTATTATTTCATATTAACATTATATTTTGATTACCACTCCCTCTATTTTTGTTTATAGGTTGTTTAAAATTATTCACACAAATTAAAATATTATTTTTTACTATACACTTCATAATTTATCTCTCTTATTAATATATTATAATAATAAAGTTTAAACTGAAAATTTGTCTAAAATTCTGCATTAAAAGTCAAAAATAAAACTTAATTAGAAATAAAAATAATTTTAAAATTACCTAGAAACTGAAACAGAGGAAATAGTATTAAATTTTATACAGAAAATAAATTATTTTAACATGGAAATTGTTTTTAGAAAAATCATTTATCTTTTTCTAAGCATATAACATAATATATGTAACGTTCTTCTTGACTGAAAAAAGTCTTATCGGTACAACATTTTGTTCGGTCGATAAGACATTTCAAATTTTTATAAAAGTACATTTGAATTCTTTTATCAAAAAACAATTTGTTTTGATTTCTTAGTCATATATTAGAATGAATTATGATAATAAGCACCATATATAGTCACAAATATCTTCTAATTAACTGAACTTAATTAAAAAAGATATCATAAAAAACAAAACTGAAGAAACGAAAGATGTTTTAAATATGTTGAATTGGATTTATGTCTAGCTAATAGTTTAGAATATGTTTATTACTATAACTAAATGTCAATTTCAAAATATATATCCCAAAAAACATATATTTACAAAGGCCCATAGGGGAGTGTTTCTATTTTCTTAACATGGGCACAGCCCTGTTTATCAGTAATGCTTATATTATGCGGATTTCATGTTTGATTTCTTGTAATGTTTCTGTCTTCTTCTTCGATATCCTCATGTGTAATTTTGTTTTGAAAACTAATTCATTATTTTCTAGTTTATTTCAAATTACAGTATGAGTTAAGATAAAATTAATAAATTAACAAATTAAGAACACTTCTTTTCTGAGAAACCACAAATTAAGTACACAAATATTTAAACTTTTAGATAAACGATCTACTCTTGGGTAGTCTTATGTGTATATGATTTTCAACACTGCTAGGTTCAAGCAAATCATTCATAGATAAAGGTTATTTTTATTCAAGTTGACTCAAATACAAAAACAACAATACAATTTGTTATAGAGAACTGGATTTTCCATATAAATATATATTTTAAAGATTTGAAAAGAAATTGGAAAAATTGTCGATAGCATTCTTGGCAGCGCAATTTTTAGCACTATCTTTCTTGACAAGATGGTGTCCACGTCCAACCAAATGATCCTCAATAAAGACACGAACATTTTTATTATCTTCCCAAGTACTGTCGTCAAACCTCAGTTTCAAGTTCTTCTTCTGACACATCTCATTGAGTTCTGTCATTGGATGGTTCTCCAGTTTATCTAAAGCTATTATTGGCTCCAACAATGGTTTTACCACCTATAATTTTACCATTTTTAACCAAGAAAAATTTCATCGATTAGAAGATCATATGTATATAGTTAATCACTCTAATTAATTAAAGAATAGTTATGAAATAAAAATGCAGTCACCTTCCAGACGGTGTCAATGGAGTCGCAGTCGATGAAGAGAGCTCCAATGGTAGACTCTACTATGTCTGCTAGAGATTTAGGGACTTTCAAGAGACCACGAGAATGTAATGGATATTTTTCTATTGCTTTTGCAAATTCCAATATCTGCAAATTCCAACACGCGATATGTGTTAACTATGATGTAAATATACTTTATAATTAATTTATTAATGACAATCGACATGTACACAAATTATTGGAAGAGTAAATGTCGTGCCTAGAAAATAATTCACGTCATTTCACACGTTCAAGTAAATATATCTAATCATTCAATCAAAATTAAACATGATGAAAGTTTAACCCAAGAAAAAATAATGGAAGGTAAAGAGCAAATAAGAAAAGTCAACGAAGACTAGGGTTTTTTAACAAAAGTGACTTACTTGGTCCTCAAGCAAGGGCTTCTTATGACGGAGGCAGAGATGTAGATTGTGTTTCACAGCGACTCTGGCCAATTTCTCGGTATCAACGTTGACCGCTCGGAGATTGGTCAGCAAACCGGGTGCAGAATCCGGATAACGAGAAAACAAATATTTGGTCATAACCATATTTAAGACCGTATCTCCATAGTATTCAAGGCGTTCGTAGGAAACGCAGTTATCATCGAAAGATGCGTCTGTGAACGCTTGCTGCAGCAAACTCTTGTTTTTGAATTCGTAGTTCAATATCTTCTCCACGAACTCGATGTCCAAAGGGGGCTGGTCTGGATCGGTGGAGATTTTTGCGGCTCCTGATCCGTTTATTTTGTTGTTGTCTTTAGCTCCGAGGCTCAAATTCAGCAGTCGCTGGAAGGATTCAGCGTCTGCGTTTGGGAGTTGCGTTCCCATAGGGACAGGAGAGAGCGAGAGAGCGAGAGAGAGAAAGATCTGTCTCTTTCTGATTTTGGTGTTTGTTTCTTGTTAATTAATACCCTTTTATACACGTCTTCTTTGTTATGAATTCTTCAATATTGTCATAGTTGGTCATTATATAATTTGTAAGGAGCCAGAAGTAAGAAAAATCATTATTAATTAATATCATATATATACTAAATTTTGTGTCCACGCGTAGCGTGAATATTTTGTTGATAAAAAATTATATGCAATCAATTATATTTATTAATATATAAATTTTATATATTAGGGTTTTAATTATATATTAAAAATATTATGGTGTTAATCTAATAATTTTTATGTAAATTATAAGGTTTAACGGTTTTTTTGAATTTATATATAATATATCATATTTCAAAAACGTATTATTTGGTCAAACATTTATAAGTTAATATATTTAAACTAACTAAATTTTTTTATAAATTAATCAAATAATACTGTTTAAACATAGTATTGACATGATGATAAAATATTATACATTCACTTTTTTAAATCAAGAAGATATTTTTTTCATCATTTTAACTTTTATTCCAATTATATATGTGTTCTTTAAAAATAACAGAGAATAATAAACTTTAAAATTTAATATTTTTTCTTCTCTTGTTTAACCAATAAAAATTTTATTTTGATATATTAATTTAAAAATAAACTAATAAATAAAATGTGTGCTTTAAAATTAACAACAAATTTATAGTGGAAACCAAAACAATAGTTAATATGAAATGATTTTATGTGAACTAAATATATTTTTGTCAGTTGGTTGTGTAAACATTTAAATAATTTTTTAATGATTATACTTTATACATCATCTCTTCTAATAAGAATGAAACTTTTTTTTCTTCATCATGTTCATTTTTATTCTTATTATATCTGTTTTTTAATGATATATCATATTTATTTATTTTAATAATTTTAATATGAATTATATTCAGTTTCATCATATTCATTTCTTACTTCTTCTAATTATAATTAAGTGATAAAGAATATAATTAATAGATGTATTTAATTTGTGTGAAACAGAAAGAACAAAAACAAAACAAAGGGAAAACGATTAAATAGTCTTGAAAATTAGTTTTGTACGTGGATATTTTAAGACGACCGTCTCAAAGTTGATTAAACGCATATGAGATGTTTTTATTTTTTCATAAATACCAAATTAATCTTCTTTTTTTTTTTTAAATTCGGGACATGTTCAACCTTGCAATTTAATACAAAAAGGACATGTAGTATTTGCAAATTGGGTTAATTTAAAAGTCAATAAGGAATCTTTGAATAAACGACATGCAAAGAAGTTTCAAATTGAAAGTTGAAACAAAAAAGAAGGTGACTTTTGACTTTGTAAAATTAAGTATATATTGGGTTGTTTTAGTTGTCCTCGAGTATGACATTGATCATCAACTCATTGACTAAAAACACAGATATGAATAAATTCATTAAAATGAGCAATTTGATCTAAGAAATAACAAAAACAAGCATGAAAGAGAGGTAAAAAAAAATGCAAAAAAGCATACAGCTAACAAAAGAAAAACGATGAACTGTGTTCATAGATCAATTTCGTTCCACAATACAATACGAATAATAAATATATTTAGTCGTCCTCTCAAGAACTATATCTATAGACCATTTTTCTTACACCACATACTGTTTTTCAACTCCTCTAAGAGCTGAGAAATAAAAAAAATAAAAAAGAAGATCATGAATCAAGAAACCTGAAGAAGTGTTAAGAAAAAGTATTCACTGATGATACTGCCCTCTTCTTCGATCATCGCGCTTTGGTTTCTCCCTTCAAGAACCGATCCTGATTGCTCAAATGGATCGATACCAACTCTTTTGAGAGAGTATTCTTGTTGATAGTAAAAGAGCAAGAAAGCTTTCAACTACCAGAAGGTTTCCCAGCGGCAAGAGTAACCGAAGACGAGAATCTTGGAACAAGAACTGCCTCGTTGCTCACGGATTTGGAAGCAGCCAAATCTTCAAGAAGCTTCCATGTTACTTCTCGTTTGGCTACAACCTCGGTTTTCTTCGCTTCCTCCTCTTGGAACTTTGCTAAGCATTCATCAAACAGAACTTGGTCTGTATCCGCCAATACTTTCCTCACATTCAAAGTCAGACTCTGAACCGCTTGGTTCCAATGTCCCCGTGTGTTTCTCTCCATAGCCGGGAACACAATTGGCATTATCACTTTATGGTTTTGAGTAATCAGGTTTCTTATGTGGTCGTTGTTCCACAGAAACAGAGCTCTCTCAGCCACCTGAACAAAGAAACCAACATTGTGATGATTTTATGAACATATTAGCAGTATTTATAGACATTAACAAAACCGAGACTCGTACCTGAAAATGTGAACTGTTGAGGCATCGTGCGATTTGACGGAATAGAGGAACCATACATCGCTGAAACTCAGCAGCTTGAGTTGCTTCCAAAACTTCTTCCAACTCTCCAAGAAACATAACTTCCTTGGAACTGTTAGTCACTGGCCAATACTTCAAAAGGCCTCTAATGACGGTATCAGCAAGCTTGACGTCTTTCTCTACAAACTGAACAATGCAATAAGAAAGCTGTTGATGATAAGCAGCAGCACATTTAGGCCTGTGTAGTGGAATCAAGGCCCTGACTAGGAAGAGCTTGTGCTCTTCTTTCAACGGCAAAGCGAAACCGTTGATTATACTTCCAAGAATCTCCAGCAACTCTGCGATGCCATTATGCTTTTCAGTTTCGAAAATGAATCTGTAGAAGATGTTGTTTATGGCCTTTCTGATAAAAGGTCGATGCACCATGAACTTCCCATAAATCCGATGCAGAATCGTCTTTAGATACTCTCTCTCTCTTTGATCTTCAGAGTCAAACAAATCCAAAAGCTTCAATACGAAAGAATGGTCGATATACCTCTTTGCAAGCTTCGCATCGGTCATCGGCGAGGCAACGAATCTGAGGAGAAGCTCATAGACAACTTGAAGATGAGGCCAAGCCGGCTCTAGCGCAGGCTCCTCATCGTCTGCATCAAGCGTTTCTAGGAGTTTGCTCTCGTGATTCGCGGAAGGAAACGTCCTGAAGAGATTAACCACAGCCATCTTCGCAATCTCTTGCATCGCAGCGTCGCTGAACTTTGTTGAAACTGTTGCGATATAGTCTACAAGCTCGAGCAAAGTCTGCCTTTTTATCTCTTTCTCTCTGAGATTCTTCGATGGGTCACTGAAGTCGAACACAACGCAACACATGCTCAGTTTCTTGATGAACAGGTTCGGTTTCTCCGAGCTAGGAACGTCTCTGAAGCTTGGCAAAGCTTCATAAACCGGAAACGCACCAGCTCCCGATGGTTTATTGGCTTGATTGGTTCTGTTGTTAACTAACGGTGGAAAAGCAGGAACAGTGCCATTTGCTCCATGTGAATTCGATGTAGATGATTCCATAAACACATTATCTCTACCTTCTCCGTTTGGATTCGGGTCGTTGTGCGATGATTTCGAAGGTTTTCTGGGTAATTTCCCAAATATCTGCTTGATCATAGTTACAGAGAACCTAATTATCGCCCTCCAAATTGGGCTAAAACCCTCTTTTTTCTTGTCTACTTCGCCACGAGAAAATCAAAGGCCTAAATTAGCAGAATACGTCAGAGTTTTCAGCACTTTTGTCGACTAAACCAGTTAAAACCCAAGTTTCTTGATTCTTAAATAAAAACCCTAATCATTGAACATCCCTGCATGCAAACGAATCAAAAATTTCAAAATCGGAAGCATAAACTCGCAAATTGAATTGAAGATTAAGTCAAAAAGATCCAGTAAAATAAGAAAAATGTAAACTTGGGAGACTTAAACGATAAAGGAACAGCTTACAAATTGGGAGATGAGTAGAGAGATAGAAAGAGAGATCTGGGTGGGCACTCGAGATGAAATCAAAGAAACCCTAAAAAAAATGCCAGCTTCGAGGAAAAAGGGATCTTGTGATAAAACCCTGTAAAAAAAACGGCTTCTTTTTTTTTCTCCCACCAAACTGAATCGAGCAAGAGAGAGAGAGAGAGAGAGAGAGGTGAAAGAAGAAAAAGGCAACGAAGCACACAGAGCAAGAGGAAATCTGGGAAGATACAGAACAGAATAGGGAGGATTAAGGTTGTAATGAAACAAAAATAGGAAAAATTAATAAAATGGTCACTCGCTATCTCTTTCTCTATATCCTTGAATTTCACTGTAAATCTCTGGCTTCCTTCGGATTCCGAATAACAGACATAGAGAAAAATAAATTAATCACAAAAAAAGAAGTTTTTGGAAGACGGGAAAATGAAAACCAGAGAATCGACAGATGGGCAGGGGCAGGTAGGTCAATTTACCTTTATGTCCTTGATTTCAGGGAGCGTATATGTGTGTGGAGTTTAAGAAGTAACTGGTCAATTCGTAAATTCACGAGTCCCAAACTTATATACATAACTTATTGGATTAACACGATTAATTCTGTCTCAAAAAAAGATTTGGTAGTTGAGTCGTTTAGTAATGCGATTTAGAAGCCAAAGATCCAAAATTGATTTGCAAAAAAGGGATGCCAAGATACTGAAAGAAATAAAGATTTGATGAACCTCAATAATATCCAAATCCTACAGAGACATATCCTCGGAGCGTTGACCAAATAGTTGACTCAGCTACACAATTGCAGAAGATTAAAAAAAACAAAGCAGAGAGATACATGAATTGAAGAGATCTTAATAAAAAAAACTAGACTTTCTGGAGGACGACCGAGTTAGCGATACCAGCCTGCTCGATGGTTTGGTCCAAGTCTGTTAACTGTTTAGGAGGAAACCCCATGGTTAGCAACTGGTACTCTTTGGAGCCACCTGGTCTTGAAGCGTCGATGAACCCACGAATGTCTCTGATGGTGTGGTGGTTATTGAACCTGGATACAAGCCGTGTGCCATCTGCCAATCTAAGCTGGATCGAGGTAGTAGGTGCTGCTGGGTCAACAACGAGCCCTCTTGATGGTGCAGGTGCTACGTTCATAAAAGCGGGTACAGTTCGTGGTTCTGCAGCTGAAGAGCTTGATCCGAATCCGCTGGCTCCTAGTAATCTTCCTAAACCTTGGAACGGATTTTTGGGCTTTGACCGCTCCTGTGTGTCAAGAGAGGTACAAACTAAGAAACCTTGACAATACGGCCTTCATCGAATAAAGCTTGGAATTGTCTAGAGTATTATTGAAAGGAAGGGAATGAGAATGAGACTTACTGTGTAATCCTCTTCACGCCTGATGAGATCGACATGAACACGGATCTTCCTGTCTACTGGCTCAAGTTCACGAGGGCACTCTGACTTCGCAATGCTCTGCAAAGACAATGAATATAATAAGGATTCCTGGTGTCCAAGTAAATCGCGATAAGAGCAAGAAACTGAATGTATTAGGTGTCTATCATCAGTGAAACAATATTGATTTATAGGAGCAGTCCATTTCAGTCTTGCAGAATACACCGATCAATTCGAGTTCTATGGTACGGATATTACCTCCATAAAAGTTGCGTTATTGGGGTCATCAAACCTTCTTAAAGGACCATCATCAACTGTGAAACCGTTCCTCCAGAAAGTGATGAAGTGCATAACCACTTGAGGCTGGTCTTGCTGTTGCTGTTGCTGAGGAGAAGAGGAAACAGGTTCACCAGACAACAATCGCGAAGCTCCAGTGAAGCTTCTTGAAGCTGGTCTTGATGGTTCCACGGGTCTGTCAACAGCTGACATCCTAGCTTGCTCAAAAAGTGCATCGACGTCTTTTGCTTTCCTAGGATCTTGAACCATCATCCCACTAAAAACATGCACAATCCCAAAATCTCTGTTAGCTACAAAGAAACTTTAAAGAATTGAAAAGACGAGCAGAAAGCCCACACAAAACAAATGAATATAGTCTGAACATGTCTCTCTCCTATGGATTCAGCTATACACAAGATATGGCCATCGCTACAATATCACTGATCCATCAATACCACAATTCTTCATCTTTGTGCATAGATTAGTCTCCTCCAGGAAGCACATTGCTTAATTTATGACCATTCCCCCAAATTTCTTAAGGTTTACTCACAGTGCTAAGTATGCTCATAAAAGTGAAAAAAATTCATCGGATACAAACAATGAGAAGAAAAACAATGAGTACACAAATTTACCTTTTCTCTCCGCCGGTATAATACTCTTGCGCCTCATCAGAATCACTACCTGCACCACCAGCCGGAGAACGGTTCAGATCAGCGAAGGTACGGATGTTCCCAGCGTGTTGACGGCTCCTAGTACTCCGGCTACCCGACGGTTTGTCAGCTTGCTGATTCTGCGAGGCGGCGCCTTTCGATCGGAGACGGTAAGGCGCGTCGCGGGAAGGCGGCGAAGGAGATCGTGACCTCGAAGGAGAGGTTTCAGACGGAGAGTAATCGGGAGATTGAGATTGAGAAGGAGATGCAGCCGGAATCGAAGAAGGAGGAAGGTTAGGGTTTGGGCCAGTTGGTAAATCGGCGGCGGCTGCGGCGTCGTTGTCGAGGAAGGTGGAGACGGCGGCGTCTAGATCCCATCGGTGACTTTCAAGGAAGAAAGTAGCTTCTTCTCTTGATGAAGAAGTGATCTCGAGGAAAGAGGTGATCAGTTTGTCGTTCATCGTCATCGTCTTGTTTTCCTCCATCGTTCGATAATTTTTGTTTTCTTTTAGTTTTTCTTTTCCTGATTTCTTTTTCTTCTCTCTTGTTATATATCTTCGGGATCGGAATATATTTCCTTTTATTTACGGGACCGTCAAACTTCTTTTCTCTTTATATACGTTTTGTAAGAAAACGACGTCGTCACATTATTTATCAACGATTTCAATTCTAATGGGCCCAAAAGGCTTGGCCTTTTCACTCTTCAGTTGGGCATTTTCTTTGTTTATCAAACATCAATCAAACTAGTGAACCAAAATCACTAAACCGAACAAAACCAAACCAAAATTTACAAAATTCGAGTTCCGAGTGGTATGAAAAAATTTACATTGAATAATCCGAAATAAACTGGAATATGATCTGACTATACAAAACCAAAAGAACATAGTGTGAATGTGTGATTATCTAAATAGTCATGGGAGATGATCACAAGTTGATCCTCAAATAGGATAAAAAAACAGAGTTGTAAAATGTTTCATTTACCTTAAAAAGTTTACAGTCTGCAGAGACAATGAAGGATCCTCGATGGGTGTTCCTGTGTCTTGTAGTTCGATTATCATGGGATCAAAATACGAAGATTCTCTCTCGAGACAGGGATCAAAAGGAGTAAGGGAAAGAGACAGTGATACTCCATCATCATCATGGAAGCTCCTTGATCGTGAGGGCACCTTGCTTCTAGAAGATACCAGAGCAGAAACTCCAACCAGCCCTAAGGAAAGCTCCAATTCCGGAGCCATCAGTTCCGAGTTAACTGCAGTTTGGCCGTAGAGAGAGTTGGAAGGTTCTTGAGATGTTGCAACTGTCATCTGCATCATAATAAATCAAGTGATTATACACTAATTTCTAGGTGAATCTGAAAAAGAAAAAGAAGTTTTCAGTTCAACTTATGGTAAATTTTACCCGCATCCGCTTCTTGCTTCTATCACAGTCTTCATCACTCTCTCTGGACTCTAGGTTGTCCTCTATTTCTGATATCCCATCCCTTAAGGAAGAGAACTTCACGACCCGTCGTACTCCGCATCCTTTAATCCTCTGAGGTAAAAGGCAACAAGCTTCTGTGTTGCGGTCAGGGCCAAAGTTGTCGCAGGAACAAGCATAGCTGTGGTAGTAAAACTCAAGTTGTACACCGTTGTCGTTCAGTTCAGATGGCGATTCAACGAATTCTTGTTCAGAGAGCTGAAACAAGAACGAAGCCAGAAGATCCATATTACATGAGGCCAGTTCATTGCAAAAAGGAATTATGCCTTTTTTGCCTCGAAAAAAACCAGCGAACTCCGATGTCTGCATGACGATCTTCGGGGTGAGTTGGAGGTCCAATCACAATGCAAGCTTTAAGAGAAAAAGAGCTCTCAGATAAAGGGATAGTCAGGGAACTTCCACAAGCTCGATATGTGAAATACGTAGGCACTTCTCCACCTGGTAAAACAGCACATAAGAAGACTGATTGTAGGATGAATTCCTGTGCATCTCTATCCAAATTGAAGCAATTATTGAAATTCGGCATGCCGGAACTCAGATGATATGGAATAACTTCCTCCACAATCTGAGAAGTAATAGTCGTTGGTAACTGATCATGCATTGTTGTGATTCCTCCACAGTCTGAAAAGTCTGCATTAATACGTATCTTCTTTAAAATATTTGGGGAGACATTTTTTAACTTCTTGCACCGAGTCATCGTTAGTTTAGCGAGATGCCCCATCTTCTCAATCCAGGAAGAAACTTCTTCAATCGCAGTGTCGTCTAGATAGAGATTTTCTATTCTAGTTGAAATCTGAGGAAAAATTCTCAACTTTGAGCATCCTCTGAGATCGAGGTCACAAAGAGATACCAAGTTGACGTCTGTTGGTAGCACCTCGAGCATTATGCATCCTTTCATGCTCAAGATCGTCAAGTTTTTGAGATTCCTAATTGAAGAAGGAAGCATCACCAAACTTTTGCAATTGTCGAGTTCCATCAATTTAAGGTTGGTGGCCTTTGAAAGATCTGGAATTTCTTTCAGGCTTTCACATCCTGACAAAACCATCCCTGCGAGACTTCCAAGCGACTGAAAAAGAAACAAGAGACATCTTAAACAATTGAAATTAACCAAAAGAGCACTAATAAATTATACAATCTTTTCCCATATACAGCAAACAAGAAGAATGATCCAACAGGTAAGAAAGGTTCCTTGCATGTGTTGCAGTAGTTAAATTAGATTGATTGATCATCATTTGTTATATGATAAGATTAAAATCTCTAATGATGATATAACAGACAGGCAAAATACAAGAAAGTTGCCTTGCCTCCTGAGCACACAAAATAATCACAACATTAACAATGAATTGCGATTAAATACCTGAACACCTCCCCATAACTTTTCAAGCCTGCTAGAGCTCATTTCAAGTTCAGTGAGATATTCAGGGTGAAAGTTGGTAGGCATACATCTCATTGGAACACCATACCAGTAGAGGTCAACAAGGTGAGAGAGATTCTCAATCCAGAAACAATCTTCTTCTCCTTCTATCGCATTTTCACTTAGAAAAAGCTCTGAAATGTTCCTTGATATCCGAGGAAATTTTTTCAACTTAGAGCATCCTCTAAGATCGAGGCTTTCAAGAGATTTCAAGTTGACATCAGCGGGCAGAACCTTAAGCTTTGAGCATCCCTTCATTGATAATACCCGCAGTTTATTCAGATTTTGAATTGAGGAAGGGAGTGTCACCAAAGATGTGCATCCCCGAAGATTCAATTTCTCGAGATTTATGGCTTTTGAAAGATCTGGAATCTCTTTCAAATCTGCAGACCAACGCATATCCATCTTCTTGAGACTTCGAAGAAGCTGAAACAAAAAAAAAAGAGAAAACAATACAGACATGGTGCCTCCTCCATATATTTTCATTAACTAAAAGAATGAAAAATTACAAGTTTTTGTTTCAAATGGAATGGAAAACTAACTAATCTAGTGGAAGACTATGAAATAAACGTTAAATGTAGTACCTGAGTTCCTTCCCACAGCTTCTCAAGCTTACTATCAATCATTTTGATTTTGACCAGATTCTACGCCCTGAAGTTACAAGGCATACTCTTGGATGGATATTCATCCCAATGTAGCAATCTGACTTTACGAGGAAAATGAACAAGGTCTCGAGGTAAATACAATCTGTTTTCACCAGTCTCCCTTGACCTCTTTTTGTAAAAGTTTAGAAATTTGAGATTACGCATTCCTTTGAATGAATTTTCATCTACAAACAACGGCTCGTTGATTTCTGACATGTTAAAATATATGCCATGAACATTCTCTGTGCCCTGAAATAAAAATCCACACAAAAAAGAAAGCATCTTAACAATCACAATAATGACCGAACACCATATGACTTTCTTAAATTCAAATAGAGTCAGTCAGGCAAGAAAAGCATATGTGAAAACTCACAGTATGATCGGTAAGTACATCACAAATATCCTCTGCATCCACCAAGAACCGACGTTTTCCTGGATTGTTAATGGACTCTGAACGAACAATTTCTTTTCCTAACTTCTCTAACAAACTGTGCATTTGAACAGTCTTGTCTGGTTGCATAGATAGAAAAGAAACAGTCTCGTCTGATGGTGTTATACGTATGAGAGACTTATCAGCAAGCATTCTAAGCCCAATCTTAGCACTATCTCCGAGCAAGTTTTCTATGTGATTGACTTTACGACCACTGAATAAGCATGCAATGGAAAGGAATAAATCTTGATCTTCACCATCTAACCCATCATAGCTGACTCTAAATGTTTTCTCAATTTTTCCATCCAAACTATTTCGGAGCCTAGGTAGCATCTCCACCCACTCCTCCTTGTCCATCCCTCTCAAAGAAGAACCAAAGACATTGAGACCCAAAGGAAGATTACCCGAAAGCTTTGCAACTTCAACTTCGAGTTCCCTGTAACCATAAGGAGGAAGGTTTTGCCCAAAAGCAGATCGACAGAACATCTGCAGAGCCAGATCTTCCGATGGGAACTCCACCTCGTAAATAAGGTCAATCTTATGAGACTTTAGAAGTTTCCTGTCTTGAGTTATCACAACAATTCTGCTCCCAGATCCAAACCATCTAGTTTGTCCCACCAAGGTCTTTAGTAATTCAAGATCGACCACATCATCAACGATGATAAGAACTTTCTTGTGCTTCAGCTTCTGTTCCACCATACCTAAATGAGATATCTTTATGTCCTTTTGACATAGAATTTCTGATAAAATCTGTTCTTCCCAACTCAACTTCATGCCATAATCATCCCGGTGTGTTCTCGTATTGATACGAATTCCCAAAGAACGGCACACACTTGGTCGGTATCAGATGGATAGATCATTGACTCCAGCTGGATCTCGGAGCAGATGCTAAGGCGTGAGAAATAAATTCTGAAAATCCTTAGGCCTAAACTCGCGGACAATAACTTAGAACAAAGGGTGGAATAAAGAGAAAGAATTCGCCGATAAAAGGATGTTAGGGCGTGGGAAATGGATTCCCAAAAATCCCTAAGCCCCAATTACTACTAACGGAAACTTAAACTTTGCAGACAAAGGCTGCGTCAAGTTCTATGGATTGAACTTGATAAACCGAAATGATTCAAGAGGCTAACCACCTAAGGAATCGAAAAGTTCAAAAAGAACAAAGGAGAAATCTCAATTTTATTTGATAAGTGAATGGCGAAAATGAGAAGAGGTACAAGCCTTTATATAGCAGGCGGAGTAGTCCAAGAGACAAACTCGAAAATGACAGAAAAATTCATAGTCTTTGACTGAAATAAATAAGCTAAGGACTGACTCTTCGGCTGGCCTTTGACTGACTCTTGAATTGCCAAGCCGAAAATGACTCTTGCGCTGCCGACCCATGAACCAGACCGCAAACAAACCTAGGTCGAGAGATGAGCAATGGACTTAACCTCATTAAAACTCCACCCAATAAACTCATTGAGACAAACCCGGGTGTAAGGAAAAAGAGTATTAAGCCATCACCCGGACCGGATTAGTTACAGCCGGTGTTCATGAGCACGGTCACAATCTTGGGTGATGCTGGGTCGCCTGGTCCGATCTTGATCCCATTAAGAACAGCCTGAACCGTCCTTGCCAGCTTCTTAGCTCTGGATCGCGTCATAGGTCCATCCGGTACGGCCAAATGTGCTTCCGGAACCTCAATTCTCTTGTTTGGGTCGTCCTCCGGGTCCATGATCGTATCATCCTCCCCCTCTTGAAAAGGACTTGTCCTCAAGTCTGGTCCATCTGCGACAAAGGGAATAAGGTCAGAAATGTTGAAGCTGGTACTGACTAAGTACTTACCTCGTAAATCAATCTTATGGGCGTTGTCATTGATCCGCTCAAGGACCGTAAAAAGACCATCCACACGAGGTAATAACTTGGACTTCCTTTCCTCCGGAAACCTGTCCTTCCTCAAGTAGACCCATACTAGATCGCCTGGTTCGAACACTTTTTGGCTCCGGCCCTTATTAGCATGCTTCTTGTAAACCTCGGTCTTCCTTTCAATGTTCTGCTTGGCCTTCTCATGAATCTGCTTGACAAGCTCGGCCTTTTTCTTTCCATCTATACTTACACGCTCAGACATAGGTAAAGGCGTAAGATCAAGAGGAGTAAGAGGGTTAAAACCATAAACCATTTGAAACGGGGAGAAAAATGTAGTAGAATGAACCGCATGGTTATAAGCAAATTTTACATGTGGTAGACAATCTTCCCACGTCCTAAGGTTCTTTTTAATAACAGAACGAAGTAGTGCGGACAAGGTTCTATTAACGACCTCGGTTTGGCCGTCGGTCTATGGGTGGCAAGTGGTGGAAAAGCATAACTTAGTACCTAGTTTTGACCAAAGTGTTTTCCAAAAATAACTAAGGAATTTAACATCGCGGTTAGAAACTATAGTCTTAGGCATTCCGTGCAACCTAACCACTTCTCTAAAGAACAAATCAGCCACATTAGACGCATCATCAGTCTTATGACAAGGTATAAAGTGCGCCATTTTTGAGAACCTATCGACCACAACAAAGACAGAATCCCGACCCGTCCTAGTTCTTGGTAATCCTAACATAAAATCCATAGAAATGTTCATCCAAGAAGAGCTAGGAATGGGTAAGGGAGTGTACATACCTGGGGATTGGCTTTTGGATTTCGCATACTTACAGGTGATGCATCGGCCGCAAATTCTTTCCACATCTCTTTTCAAATGCGGCCAGAAGAAATGATCCTGGACCACACTAAGAGTCTTGGCCATTCCAAAGTGTCCCATCAAACCGCCGCCATGAGCTTCCCTAACAAGCAGATCACGAAGGGAGACATTAGGTATACAAAGACGGTTTTCATAAAACAAGAAGTCATCACTCCGAAAATATTTTCCAGTGGCAAATTTAGAACAGGATTGATAAACTTCCTGGAAATCTGGATCGGAGGTGTAAGCTTCTTTGATCATTTCAAAACCGAGGACCTTGGCGTCTAAGGTCGAGATCAGGGTGTATCTGCGGGACAAGGCGTCGGCCACAACGTTTTCCTTTCCCTGTTTGTACTGGATCACGTACGGAAACGTTTCAATAAACTCCACCCATCTGGCATGCCGCTTATTCAGTTTCTGCTGGCCCTTGAGGTGTTTAAGAGATTGATGATCCGTATGAATCACAAACTCCTTTGGCCAGAGGTAGTGTTGCCAGGTTTGGAGCGCACGGACCAAGGCATAATGCTCCTTGTCGTAGGTGGAATAGTTCAAGGTCGCGCCACCAAGCTTCTCACTGAATTAGGACCGCACCAAAGGTTTTCATAAAATCAGGCAAAGAAAGTAGAGGTGCATGAGTTAGCCTGTTTTTAAGGAGTTGGAACGCCTCTTCTTGTGCCGTGCCCCATTTAAATCCAACGTCCTTTTTGATTACTTCGGTGAGAGACGCTGCTATGGTACTGAAGTCCTTTACAAACCGTCGGTAGAAACCGGCCAGGCCATGAAAGCTTCAGACCTCTCCAACCGTCTTGGAACTGGGCCAGTCTTTGATCGCCTTGATCTTCTCTTCGTCGACCTGGACCCCATTGGCACCTACAACAAAGCCTAGGAACACAACACTATCCGCGTAAAAAGTACACTTTTTCAAGTTCCCAAACAATTGCTCCTTCCTAAGCACTTCTAAGACTAACCGCAAATGCTCTAAGTGCTCAGTCAAGTTCTTGCTATAGACTAAGATATCATCAAAGTACACAACGACAAAAACGCCTATGAACAACCGCAAGACATGGTTCATAAGTCTCATGAAAGTGCTAGGGGCGTTGGTTAAGCCAAACGGCATTACCAACCATTCACAAAGCCCATGCTTTGTCTTAAAGGCTGTTTTCCATTCGTCCCCCTCTTTCATCCTTATTTGGTGATAGCCCTTTTCAAATCTATCTTAGAAAAAAAGACAAGATCCGTGAAATTCATCAAGCATATCATCCAAACGAGGAATGGGATGTCTGTATTTTACCGTGATATTGTTGATTGCACGACAATCAATACACATACGCCAAGTGCCATCCTTCTTTGGCACAAGTAAGACCGGGACCGCGCAAGGACTCATACTCTCTCGTATATGTCCTTTCTCCATCAGCTCTCCGACCTGCCACTGTAGTTCCATTGTTTCAACAGGGTTGGTTCGATACGCGGGTCGGTTTGGCAAGGACGCACCAAGAACAAAATCGATCTGATGTTCTATTCCGCGGATGGGAGGTAATCTACTTGGGCTTTCTTCTGGAAAGACGTCATTGTATTCCTGCAAAAGAGGCAAAACGCTGCTCGGAAGATCCGGCTCACGGTCAGTAAGGCTAGCCAAAGCATTTCTAAACATTAACAAGACAAAGGATTGTCTCGTAAGCACGGCGTGCTTAAGTTCACTTGGCCTCACAAAAAGGATTTTTTTTCTCACGGGTAAACTCTCTAAGGCCGTTTCTGGGGTTTTTCTCACTCTCAGATTTAGTGGAAGTGTTTAGATGGTCACTCACAACGCTTTTTCCTTTGTGGCTTTGCTCGAGTTTGATCTGGTCTAGGTAGACCTCTTGCGGAGACAAAGGCGCTAGGGTGATCTTGCGGCCTTGGTGTTCGAACATGTATTTGTTGGAGAAGCCATCATGAATGGCCTTGCGGTCATACTGCCAAAGTCGGCCCAAAAGGATATGACCAGCTTCCATTGGTAACACATCACACATGATCTCATCCTCGTACCGTCCGATAGATAATGAAACCGAGACCTGCTTGGTGACCTTCAGGTGCCTTTGGTTGTTTAGCCATCTGAGACTATAAGGCTGCGGGTGCTTGTGCGTCTCCAGGCCAAGTTTCTCCACCATTGTAGTGCTTGCCACGTTCGTACAGCTGCCTCCATCGATGATCAGGTTGCAGACCTTACCCTTTACCAAGCACCGGGTATGAAATAGGTTCTCGCGCTGATCTTCCTCTTTTACGGGTTCTTGAGCTAGTAGGACTCTCCGGGCAACGAGCAATTCACCTTCTGCTGCTCGTTCCTCATCTTCCTCATCGTCATAAATCGGTCCAGTATCCTCTCCATCGGACACGATTTCACCTGAGTCAAGAAGCAACATGGTTCATTGGTTCGGACATTTATAAGCATAATGACCTTTACCTCGACACTTAAAACATTCGATGTCGCGGTGTCTAGCCAGTGTAGCCTCGGCTTTTCCTTTGAAGTCGGGTGTAGAAGAGCTGGGTTTGGAATCCGATATGGGCTTAGCATCGGATCGAGATGGGTAGCTCGGCTTATCTGTTGGTCGCGAACTGGAACCATATGCGGGTCGGTTGGTGCCTTTGCGTTTCAGCTGTTGTTCCACTAGTACTGCCTTGTGGTACATCTCGCCAATGTCCTGATAGTCCTGCAACTCCATACGGTCTTGTATATCACGGTTGAGGCCACTCAAGAACCGGGCCATTGTCGCATCCTCTGGTTCTACCGTATCGGCTTTTAGCATTAGCCGATCCATCTCTTGGTAATACTCCTTAACATTCTTGGATCCCTGGGTCAAACGTCTGAGTCAAGTGTGCAACTCCCGATGGTAGTGGCTTGGTACGAATCTGCGTCTCATCATTCGTGCCATCTCATCCCAAGTTTCAACCGGTCGGTCACCGTTCCTTCTCCGGTTGGTAACAACTTGGTCCCACCAGTCTACCGCGTACCCATGGAACTCGGTGGCGGCCAGGTTGATCTTCTTTCTTTCTGAGAAGTTCTGACAACCAAATAAAATGTTGATCTTCTTTTACCACTCAAGGAACGCGTCTGGATCGGTTGTACCATAGAAAGATGGGACCCTCAGCTTCATGCCTCCAAGGTCATTGTCGTTTCGGGCTTGGACTGGTTCAGGTTCGTATTGTCCCCGGCCTTGATCATTACGGTCTTGTCGAGCCTCGTCCCGGTTACGACCGCGGGTTGGATCTGGGTTATTTCGTTCACGACCGTGGTTCGGCAAATTGTTTTGACCACATCTATCTTCTCGGCCGCGTCTGGGTCGTATCTGACTACCACCCGAGGTATGTCCGTCAGCGTAAAATGGGTTGTCTCCGACAAACTCATTCCGGTTATGATTTCTCTCCCTCCGGGTTGGGTCCTCCTGATCACTGCGATCAGCTCCTCTGTCCCGTCTAGGCTGGTCCACTTCCAACCGTTCCATACACTGATTCATGTGATCCAGCAGCTGAGTAATCTGGTCCAGCCTATGGTTCATAGTGACTTTTCTTACTTCTTTTGACCGAATAGTGGATGGATCGTCGCTAGAAGACATATAATACCTCGCAAAACAAACAAACAAACAAGTTAGCAAAAAATTCTCGCAAAGTGTTTCACTCGGTGTTTCACTCAACTCTCTTAAGGATCTCACAACACTCAAGAGACTCTCCTTGGTTCTAAGGGAACTAAATCAAAAACTCGATGTAGATCTCTAAACCAATTCAGAATATCAAGCAATTATGAAGAGAAGATAGATAGAAAATAATTTTTTTGATTTTCCACAGATCTTTTTTTTTTTTAAACTTCTTTTTTTTTTTTTTTTTTTTAGATAGATCTGGAATTACAAAAGAAAGAAAGGATAAGACGGAATTTGAAAAGACAAAAAGATAGATAATACCGCTTTCTTCAAGTGCGTGGCTCTGATACCACTTGATACGAATTCCCAAAGAACGGCACACACTTGGTCGGTATCAGATGGATAGATCCTTGACTCCAGCTGGATCTCGGAGCAGATGCTAAGGCGTGAGAAATAAATCCCAAAAATCCTTAGGCCCAAACTCGCGGAGAATAACTTGGAACAAGGGGGAGGAAAAAGAGAAAGAGTTCGCTGGTAAAAGGATGTTAGGGCGTGGGAAATGGATTCCCGAAAATCCCTAAACCCCGATTACTACTAACGGAAACTTAAACTTTGCAGGCGAAGGCTGCGTCAAGTTCTATGGATTGAACTTGATAAACCGAAATGATTCAAGAGGCTAACCACCTAAGGAATCGAAAAGTTCAAAAAGAACAAAGGAGAAATCTCAATTTTATTTGATAAGTGAATGGCGAAAATGAGAAGGGGTACAAGCCTTTATATAGCAGGCGGAGTAGTCCAAGAGACAAACTCAAAAATTACAGAAAATTTAATAAAGTCTTTAACTGAAATAAATAAGCTAATGACTGATTCTTCGGCTGGCCTTTGACTGACTCTTGAATTGCCAAGCCGAAATGACTCTTGCGCTGCCGATCCATGAACCAGACCGCAAACAAACCTAGGTCGAGAGATGGGCAATGGACTTAACCTCATTAAATCCCCACCCGGTAAACCCATTGGGACAAACCCGGGTGTAAGGAAAAAGAGTATTAAGCCATCACCCGGACCGGATTAGTTACGGCGTTCATGAGCACGGTCACAATCTTGGGTGATGCTGGGTCGCCTGGTCCGATCTTGATCCCATTAAGAACAGCCTGAACCGTCCCTGCCAGCTTCTTAGCTCTGGATCGCGTCATAGGTCCATCCGGTACGGCCAAATGTGCTTCCGGAACCTCGATTCCCTTGTCTGGGTCGTCCTCCGGGTCCATGATCGTATCACGTATAAGAGACGAAAGCATGATGGTGGAATCTACCAGAAAGTTGACTGTATAGAGCTCTTCCTATGGTACTCTTACCAATCCCTGAAGCCCTCACAATTCCTACCATTCTCACTTCCTCAGATTCCAAACTCAAAACCGAATTCAATTTCTCTAAATGAGCTGTAATCCCAACAAAGTCACCAAAATCATTTGATGATGTCATGAGCTTATTCAACACATCCTTGGCGATTTTTTCAATCATGTTTGCTTCATCACTCCTAAATATTAATGGTGAAAAACCCAATCAAGAAGTAATCGTAAGAACAATCGAAATCTATGCAAAGACAATTAAAAAGCAACATACCAATTCCGAGAATCCTCTCCGGCCAAATTTGCTACCTCTGTTAAAGCTCGGATCCATCTTTCTTTATGATCATCTGATTTGCCTTTGCAAGTTTTTTCAAACCCTTCTCCGAATTCTCCGGTCTGTTTTCTAACATCAGAAGGATCCACATCGTAAAAAATCGGAATCACCATTTGATTCAGTTCCTTAAAGCACATGTGGATCTCCACCAATTCATTCAAACACCAGGTCGAAGAAGCGTAGTTCTTTGAGAAAACGATTAATCGCCGATAAAAGCTCATGTGCGATGGGTCTGCTTCTCTCGATGCCATGGTCTATGAATGTAATGATCAATTTGCGATTGAGCTTCTCGAGAAGGTGGCTGAGGAATGATTTGCGTACATCTTCACCGCTGAAACTCGGGAAAACATCGTATCTCCAGGTACGAGAAGAGGAAGAAGAAGCCCCATGGAAAATGATAGAGAAGAGATTTTGAAACTCGTATAGAGACGAAGTGTGGACAGTATTGTAACAGTAGCAGAGACATAGTGGGAAAGGAAGGACTCAAGGAGAAACTTGGCAGCGTTGATTGACGCGTTGAAGAAGACTTAAGGAAATTTCGAGCTGATTTTCCACTTTCCATTCAAACCATAAATTTTTTTTATCCGTCAATTGAAAAAGAAAATAGATGTCAAAAAAAAAGAGAGGAAAAGAGAAGAGCTATTCATGGGCCGTAGGCAATTTGAACAAATAAATAAATAAATAAAACCTATGGCCCATAGGCCTATAGCCAAGTAAGCACAGTCACAAGACTCATAATTCATATATAAATCGTTTGAAAATTAACTATTTTAATTAAAATTATTATTTTAATAATTTTCATAACAATTATAAAAATCAAAATCGAAAAATAAATGTAGAAAATAGATAAAAAAAAAATTTTCTTGATTATCTTCCTGAAATCAATCTTACGGGCAAATCAGATATAAAATTTGGAGAAAGATGATTTTTTTGAGATTTTTTTTTTTAATTGGGTTGTTTTTTGGGGCCGGAGAATTATGTTGGATTTGGTTGTAACCAAGTTTAATTTAGGTTTAACATCAAATTGAAATGGTTGATATAGTTGATTGGTAATTAAGCATTTAATCGAATAAAAACAGACTTGTATGTTCTGAAGTTTTGAATTTTGAATTTGTGGGGGATATAAGTTTTTAACTTTTGAGAAGAAGGGGGGTTAAGGTTTTTAATTTTACTTTGGTGTGTTATAGACAGAAGCTATAATTCAGGAGATATATGATACAATATGCTAAATTTTACGAAAAATAGATAGTTTATCCTAAAAAAATAAGAAGAAAATATAATATAATGTACTAGATATGAAAATGATATTTATATACTGTTACAAAATACTTTTAAACTTAATTTACAAAATTGTTAGTTTTTAATGTTTAGTTGTGTTTCACAAACAGTTGGGATAAAATATAATATGAGTATAATTTTTTTTTGGTCAAATAATTTAATTATAAATATGAAACATGAATTTATAAAGTTCATATAACGTTTTCCACGATTTTGCGTAGGTTTGAGTATACTAATGCACCACAATGACATAATAGATGACATTATACTGTATGCTAGTTTCTATATATTTAATACCACTAACAAAAGGATGATTTGTATTAATCAGTTCAATAATAATTCTCAGGAATGCTTTCTAACTTCGGTCTCCATTTTCCATCGTCACAACCTCCTCTTTTGTCGTCTTCTTCTTGTACATGGACTTTGGAGATGTTTTTACCTTTGAGTTTTAGGACATGAACTAAGTGTTCGACAGAGTTTATCCCTCCCCCGTGATCCAAGATTTGTCTGAGTTCTTGTTTTGATACCACCACTTTGATCATAGTAGATTCCCTTTCCGATTCTTCTTCCTCTTTGGATGATGTATGCAGCGGCTGGGGTTTCAGATCATCAATTTTCTCCTTTCCGGCGAGAATCTTGTCGCTTCTCAAGCAGTTTCCCATTTGGAATTTTTGTCACCCTCCAGATATAGTTTTAATTCAAAGAAAAAAGAAAGAAGAGAAATGTTGATAGATAGAGAGAGAGGTTGATGAGCACAGAAGCTCTTTTGTGTGTATACATAGACAGACAAATTAAAGAGACACGATTTACGCGCAGCATTTGCATGAGTATGAGATTTGAATTCCTATTTTATTTTTGTACGTATTTGAATTAGATATATACTTATGTACTCATACACGCTTTTAGATATTTAAATACATAAAAGATTAATCACGTACGTCGGTCGATATTCTTATATGTATATGACTACGGACAAAGAGTGGAAATAAAATAAGAAATAATTGGAAGAAATAACATGTTCTGATATGAAATAACATTTTTAAGGATACTTTTTGTATTTATTGGATAAAATGCTCTTAGTTAGCTATTATCTGACGCTTTATCTTTTTTTTTTTGTCTAGCTTTTGATCGAGCACTCGTCGACGTAGGTGATGTATGAACTCGCCGCTGTACGAATGTCGAGAAAGATTAAACGGTGTTTAGGATTTAACATTTTGGACAAGGTCTATAAGCAGGGCCGGATCTGGGCCAAGCCAATTGAAACATTTGTTTTAAATCCTCAAAATTTTTTTGTCTAATTTAACTTATAAATTTTTCTAAATTTTTTTTTTTTTTCATAAAACCAATTAAACCCCTATTTTTTTCCCCCAAAATCGGCAGTATCTATAAGAGATGTTCTTCATATAACAGATGTCTGCATTGTACTGTAGACGTTTACAAAATTAAAAAGAGATAAGAGATATTTTATGGATAAAATATTACATAGAGATTATATTTCATATTTTGTCCTAGTGGTTTTGGTCGCGCCTAAGCGATTAATTTTAAGAATACAATGTTAAACGGTAACATTGTGGCTTGTAATCCGCAACTTTTTTTTGTTTATAACTTAATCGGCATGTTTCTTTGTAATCCATCGTCCTCAAAAAATATTATCAAATAGTCAAAACTACATGGGCTGTTGTGTTATAACTTATAAGTAATGTCCTAATTTTTGTTTCCTAATTCATGGAAAAAGTTAAGAGAATGTTAACTATGATTGTTAACACTACCCTTAATTTGTATGTGTTAGTTTAGGGAAGACACAGAGACAGAAATTAAACTTGAAGAAAATCTCCCTAAAATTATTTATCAATATGGCTAAAACTGTGAAATCTTAATAAAAATTTAGTTACTAAAACCAAATCAGTTGTTATCATAAAAAATAAAGAAACAGTAAAAATAGATTAAATAATTCCTAAAATCTTTTTATTCTATATAAGAAATATGATTTTATTTGATATATATGAAAATGAAAAGATAATTGAAGATTTTTATTGTATTTATGATAAAAGATAAAGTAAATATTCTTAATAATTTTCTAAAAATCATACTTTGTTATAAATTACACTGTCAAGAAATCATAAGAAAATCAAAAACTAGAATAATATTAAGTACTCGAAAATACAAAAAGAAAAAAAAAACTTATGAAAAAGGAAAAAATCATGAAATCATGTGAAATATGGAAGCAGACTAAAATTTAACAATGGGCATAAATAAGTTTTGTTAAGTTATTGGCCGGAATTTATATACTTCTATATAATTATAATACTTTTCTTATGGGGGCTGCACGCAGTAAGATATGAGTAGATCCGTTCCGGGTAAATTCCCATCAGAATACCATTATGTTTTCTGTATTGTAAACCCTTTAAATAATTATCCTTAGCTGTCCCAAACAAGAAGAAAAGAAACAACTATCCTTAATTTTAAACCCATTTAAGAAAAGAATAATAATGGACCCCCAGTATTCTGTATTCTTTATAAAAAAAAAGCTAAACAATTATGACTATTTTATGATTATATGTGCATATAAATGGTCTAAAGTTTAGATTTTTTATTTGGTAGAAGAAGAAAAACAAAATCTACAGTTATCCGTAGAATCTTTTTTTTTTCGAAAAAAAAAAAAATTATGGAGGAAGACAAGGTAGATATTTTAAAGGAAGATGAAAGAGAAGCAATGGAGGAAGAGAAAAGCAAGAAGAGCAGAGTGCAAGATGAGAAAGTGCCATTTTACAAGCTTTTCTCGTTTGCTGACAGAAACGACGTAGTTTTGATGACTGTAGGAACCATCTCCGCCGTGGCCAACGGCCTGACTCAGCCGCTTTTGACTCTATTATTCGGCCAGATCGTCAACGCATTTGGCTCCTTTGAAATTTTTAAAGAAGTCTCCAAGGTTAGTTAAGGTTCTTAAGCTTGCTTTGTTCAGATTCTTAGTGAGTTGATGAAAGATTGTTAAATCGCTTAAAACCATCTCAACTTAGAAAATAATCAATGAAAATTCAATTAACCTCCTTCATAAACCAATATTCTGATTAGTTTGTTATTCTTCTTTCTCCAATGTTAATGTTACTGAAAAAAATATATTTCAGATTGCAGTGAAGATTCTTTATCTTGCGGTTTATGCATGTGTCTTCTCCTTTCTACGTAAGCCCACACTTGTTCAAACTATTTTATCCCCTCAGGTTTGCCTTAACTTACAGTCCAAGTTAAACCTATCTTATTGGTTCTTATGCAGAGGTCTCGTGCTGGGTGGTTACTGGAGAACGTCAATCCACTAGAATTCGTAGTCTATACCTAAAGACGATATTACAACAAGAGATTGGCTTCTTCGACACTGAGACAAGCACAGGAGAAGTCATTGGAAGAATGTCTGGAGACACCATTTTGATTCAAGATGCCATGGGAGAAAAGGTTTTTTTTTGGTGTGTGTTTATATTCTCATTTTCATTGCAAGATACTAAAAAATATGGATCGTTTTTACTATGCAGGTCGGGAAATTTATACAGCTGATAGCAACATTCTTTGGTGGATTCGTGGTGGCTTTCATAAGGGGATGGGAACTCACTTTGATTCTTATGGTGTGTATCCCTTTGATCGTGGCCGTAGGTGCAATAGCAGCCCTAACCATGTCCAAAATGGTTGGTAGTGGACAAGCCGCTTATGCGGAAGCTGGAAACGTGGTGGACCAGGCCGTAGGTGGCATTAGAACAGTAAGTTCTCGCATTTGAAACTGTCATGTTTTAAGTAATTCAAAACTGTTTCTCTAAGTCAATGTTCAAAATTTTGGTTGAGTGGCCTGGTATAACGCGTAGCGAAATTTTGAACATGACTTAATTATTTTTAATTTTCATTGTTTAACGCTTTATGAGTTCATATTTGATCCACTTGCATGTGAATTCATAACAAAAGACTAGATTTTCAGGTGGTAGCATTCACTGGAGAGAAACAAGCGATAGACAAATACAATAGAAAGCTCGAGATTGCCTACAAGTCTACGGTTAAACAAGGGCTGATCTCGGGTCTAGGCATGGGCGTGATGTTGTTTGTGACCTTTAGTAGCTATGGTTTCGCGGTTTGGTACGGTGCCAAGCTTATGGTCGAGAAAGGTTATGATGGTGGCCAAGTTGTGAATGTGATTTTTTCGGTCCTTGCTGGAGGAATGTGAGTGTAAACATCTCATATCACACAAAATTTACATTACCTTCAAAGCGTTCTTGCGCCACAAGGGAAAGTTTAATTCTCACACATTTTTGTAGGTCATTAGGGCAGACATCTCCGTGTCTTAACGCCTTTGCGTCTGGACAAGCTGCGACTTTCAAAATGTTCAAGACAATCAAAAGAAACCCAAAGATTGATGCTTATGACCCGACCGGTATGGTTTTAGAGGAGATTCAAGGAGACATCGAGCTAAAAGACGTCTACTTTCATTACCCGGCGAGACCTGAAGTGCAGATATTTGCTGGATTCTCGTTGTTTATACCGAGTGGCACAACCGTGGCTCTAGTGGGACAAAGCGGGAGCGGGAAGTCGACAGTGATTAGTCTTATTGAGAGATTCTATGATCCAGAAGCAGGACAAGTGCTAATAGACAACAATGATTTAAAGAAGCTTAAGTTAAAATGGATCAGAAGCAAGATTGGTCTTGTTAGCCAAGAACCTACACTTTTTGCGACCACAATAAGAGAGAACATTGCTTATGGAAAAGAAAACGCAACTGATCATGAGATTAGAACTGCGATTGAGCTAGCTAACGCATCTAAATTCATTAGAAATATCCCAGAGGTGCTTGAGTTATACATCTAATTTTAGTTAGAACCAAGAAACATATTTTTTTTTAGAATTTGTAACATTGTTTGGTGAGTTTACAGGGTTTAGACGCGATGGTAGGAGAGAAGGGGACACAATTATCTGGCGGGCAGAAACAGAGGATTGCGATCGCTAGAGCGATTCTGAAAAACCCTAAAATCCTTCTTCTTGATGAAGCTACAAGTGCCTTGGACGCAGAATCTGAACACATTGTTCAAGATGCGCTAGTAAACTTAATGGCTAATAGAACCACCGTCGTGGTGGCTCACCGGCTAACCACCATAAGAACAGCAAACATGGTAGCTGTTGTGCACGAGGGAAAAATAATCGAAAAAGGTGTCATCTTTTGCCCAAAGTAATCATTTTTTTGTATATGTATAATGATAACAATATTCCATAATGTTTTTGAAATTGTGGCATAGGAACTCACGAGGAGATGATTCAAGATCCAGAGGGAGCTTACTCGCAGCTTGTCCGTCTACAAGAAGGATCAAATGAAGAATCAGAGAGAAATGAAACGAGTTTCGAGAGTGATCATATGCAAGTTGGTCAAACTAGCAGCCGTAGACTCTCATCAAGAAGGATGAGTAGACACTCTTCGAGAAGTCGACTAAACGATGAACGTCACGATAGTAGCTCTAACGAAAACAGAGCGGCCTTGAAGCGCAAGAAAGTATCGTTGAGACGACTTGCTAGCCTCAACAAGGCAGAGATCCCGGTTCTGTTGCTCGGTTCAGTGGCTGCAATGGTTCATGGCACAATGTACCCAATCTTTGGTTATCTACTATCAAGCTCCATCAACATGTTCTTTGAGCCTCCTGATGAATTAAAGAAAGATGCACGTTTCTGGTCGATCATTTATGTTCTTCTTGGTTTGGTTAATTTGGTATCAGTTCCAATTCAGAACTATTTATTTGGTATCGCTGGGGGAAGACTAATCAAACGCATCCGGTCGATGACATTCGATAAAGTCTTGCACCAAGAGATTAGTTGGTTCGACAATACCGCAAATTCAAGGTACATACATGATCTTTATCTTCAAAATCTCACCAGTCTTGTTTTATTCTTGGATGAACCAAATATAACGTTCTTCGACATGTTGCGTTTTGTTTAGCGGTGCGATTGGATCGAGATTGTCAACAGATGCTTCAACAGTAAAAAGTCTAGTTGGTGATGCATTGGCCTTGATCGTTGAAACTATAACCAATGTTGCTGCTGGTTTGATAATAGCGTTTGTGGCTAATTGGAAGTTAGCTTTCATTGTTCTTTTTGTTTCACCCGTTATTGTCTTCCAAGGATACCTTCAGACAAAGCTTCTCAGCAAATTCAGCGCAGACGCAAAAGTAAGTGTTTAACATTTTGGTTTAATTCCATAACCGGTTTTGATGTGTTTTTCGTGATCCGGTTTTACTTCGGTTCAGGAGAAGTATGAAGAGGCAGGCCAAGTTGCAAACGAGGCAGTGAGCAGCATAAGGACGGTAGCATCCTTTTGCGCCGAGAAGAAACTGATGAATTTATATGAAACAAAATGCAAAGGGGCAAAGAATGAAGGTGTCCGGTTAGGACTCGTGAACGGTTTGGGTTATGGTTTCTCATTCTTTGTACTCTATTGCATCAATGCCTTAACTTTCTATGCTGGTTCGTATATGATTGAGCATGAGGAAGCCACATTTAAAGAATTCTTCAATGTAAGAGCCAAGAAAATATTCGGTTTAGTCTTGTTTTGGTTTCATCCTTTTGGTTTATGATCTTTGAGTGGTTTATATTTTGCAGGTTTTCTTTGCACTAACGGTCACAGCAGTAGGAGTATCTCATACTAGTGCATTAGCGCCTGACACAACCAAAGCCAAAGACTCTGCATCTTCAATCTTTGATATTCTTGATAGTAAACCGAAGATCGACTCGAGTTCAGATCAAGGAACAACGTTAGCTAACGTGAAAGGCGACATCGAGTTCAAACACGTTAGTTTCCGTTACCCGACGCGACCAGATATTCAGATTTTTCATGACTTGTGCTTGGTTATCCCCTCCGGCAAGGTAGGTCAAAAGAAAAAAAAAACAGAGTATTTCTCGGTTAAGTCAGACCGATCGGTTTACAAGTTTAATTGTTTTTTTTTTTTGGATTTTTTAGACCGTTGCATTGGTGGGAGAGAGTGGAAGTGGGAAATCGACTGTGATAAGCATGGTTTTGAGATTCTATGATCCAGATTTAGGCAAGATACTTCTAGACAATGTCGAGATTCAGTCATTTAAATTGAGCTGGTTAAGACAACAAATGGGTTTGGTTAGCCAAGAACCAGTTCTCTTCAACGAGACAATTAGATCAAACATCGTCTATGGCAAAACCGGAGGATTCACTGAGGAAGACATCACAAACGCAGCTAAAGCGGCTAATGCGCATAACTTCATCAGCTCATTGCCTGAGGGTTACGAAACGTCGGTTGGGGAACGCGGCGTTCAACTATCAGGTGGTCAAAAGCAGCGAATCGCGATCGCTCGTGCCATTCTTAAAGATCCTAAGATTCTTTTGCTTGATGAGGCGACAAGTGCGTTAGACGCCGAGTCTGAGCGGGTGGTGCAAGACGCACTTGAGAGGGTGATGGTGAACCGGACCACAGTGGTGGTGGCTCACCGGCTCGGTACGGTTAAGAACGCAGACGTGATCGCAGTTGTTAAAAATGGTGTGATCGTGGAGAAAGGAAGACACGAGAGGCTAATGAAGATTTCAGGTGGTGCGTATGCTTCGCTTGTCGCGCTTCACATGAGTTCCAACTAAGTTATGTACTTGCTAAATGTAATCTAGCAATTTTCTGCATTTGATTTGAATAAATTCTTTTGCATTGAACCTATATAAATCAACTTCAAGATAGGCGTCACATAACAGAAAATACAAAAGTTGTAATATATGGAAGCGAAGTAGTGATCATAGGATATGCAAAACAAAATTCTGATTAAGAAAGCAAAACACTGGTTTTCAGTTATGGAAGTGTTTAACGATCGCAAGAAACGGTTTTAGACAAGACTTAACAGAGATGTTGTATAATCCGTACGTAATCTTACTATTTTTTTTTTTTCATTGCTGCTCTGAGCCACTGATCTTGATATCAGAGAGTTTGTGCTCACTTAAATAACTTTCTTATATTTTATTATTCACAATACTAAACCTTTTTATAAAAATAAATGTAGATAATCAGTTGATTTATGTTTTGTAATGATTGGGAAAGTTTCTCCTTTTTTTGGCTAGAGTTTGAAAATGTTACGTACTATAATTGCAAACATTTTTTTAAAAAAGGTAAAAACTTCCTCTCATGTCATTAATTCCGAGACAATTACACATTACAAAATTTGGTCAAAACCATAAACAAAGCGAAACAAATAACATTAAACACAAATAACAAAATTAAACATCAATAAAAACATTAATAAGGGAAAAGAAAAGATTAAGACGTTGAAACTCAATTGGATCTCCTAATAAACTTTTTTAATATTTTTTATTAAAATGGAAAGAATAATGATGAAACATGTGTTAGGAAAAAGGTGAGGAAGGAAAAAATATTTTTTTTCCTCCATATTGAAGAACCAATCATATGCATTTACATGTTTTAAAAACGTCTCTTATGCGTTCTAATATAAGCGACGTTTTCTCTACTTTTACATAAAACACTGATTAAAATAATAATATTTATTTTTAAGAGATGTTGTAAGAGACATCAATGTTCATGTCTAAGAGACATGAGGAAATTAAATAAAGTAGCTGGGTCCTCTGCATTGATAGATCAGAATCAAAGCAAGACCTGGACAGTTATTACCAGATTCTTTCTCCAGTGCATCAAGAACAGCCTACAAATCTGGGTTTTCGGGTTCATTCACGGAGCTATAACATCGAGTCGTAAGAACATCCAGTAATGCAATAACAACACCAATAGCAGCGACCACCATGAACACAATACTTATCTGCTGAAACATGTAGTAGAACAATGCTTACAGAGCTGTGTACAAACACACCATGAAAATTTCATAAAAAATCCTTACTCCTTTGTGCTTGGGTCTTACCGCAGCATTGATGCAGGAGAAAGTCGTGAAAACGATGCCAGTCCACCCAGCACATCTCCGAGCCCACGTATGGTCGACGGAAGAGATGTACTTACTGGGATCCAAGTTGAAGTATAAACATCACCACAGCGAGGAGATATAAAGCCAAGTTCTTCAACAACGTCGACATCATTGTTGGCGATGATATTTTTGGCTCTCTAAATGGCGAAGATAAGTGAACACGCAATGAAGCTCCATCTCCTCAAGGCATCCATTGTTATGGGGCTCGTCTATTGCTACCTCGTCAATGTACTGGTAAGGTACCGATATTCTGGTGTGAGAGTATAAATGTACAACCCCACTACTGTAAAAACCTGGTTTCCGTTGAAGTACAAGTGTACAACAAACGAAATGTTAAAATGTACAACAACACCCTAAGAAGGCAAAATTGTAAACCTTTGGCCAAAGTATACATCATGGTGTATTTTGAAGTTGTATATGTTTCAAGCCAAGTTGTTAAATCAAACTTCACCATCTTTTTGAAATTTTTGAAACAAAAAAACTCAAAAGAAAATGGGAATTACTGTATTGTGATTAAAAGCAAAGGGTGAGAGAAAATGAACGAAGACGTTTATGGTTTTATAAACGTTTTGACATTGTTATTCAGTAGGATTATTACAAATACTATTTCGATTTAATATAAATATTTTAGAATACGTTTATACCATGTGGGTTTTTCTAGTGATAACAACATTGCTTGAAGTGCACAATTACCGCACAATTACTACTTCACATGTTAATTTTTTTTTTTAAAAAAAGCATGTTAAAATTTTACAACCAATCCAAGAAAACAAGCCTAAATATCAGAATCTCCCAAATAATATTCAGGAAACTCAAAAATAGAAAAAAAACTACAAAATCACTTAGCTCAGCTAAATCAGAAGAATTTTTTTTCTTTTTTTTTTTAACCAAAATGTAGTGATCATTTAAGGACTAATTAAGATCAACCACATGTCTATAAGAAACACTCCTCCAAAAAAAAGCTGCAGAAGACTTTAATTGAACAGAGAGAAATAAGTAAAGTAATATACATTAACTACCAGAGATTTAACCATCAAAATATCTTCATTTATCATAGTAAGTAGAAAACTCTAGAATCACGGTCCTCTATATATTCCACACCTCGTGAGTATAACAAACATTCACCAACTTGCAAAAATATTAGAAAAAAGAGAATGGTGAGGTTCGGACTCACCTATTTCTTACGGATGTATACGGCAGAAGAGTTTAAGGTGATCTAAAAAACTTCACCGCCATCTATGCCGGCGCCATGACAGAGGTAATAATTTTCTTTGGCTCCTCAAATGGCAAAGATAAGAAGATAAGTGAACACACAACCAATCCAAAGAAACAAGCCTAAAGATCTTAATTTTCTAACATAATATTCATGAAACTTAAAAATGGAAAATAAAAACTACAAAATCACTTGATAGATCCCCTTTCCCTTGCGACGGATGGATCCTGACTTGGTGAACTAACTACAGGTCCGAATATACTGCAATCACCCAGTTTAGCTCAGCTAAATTAGAAGAAATGTTTGTTTTTCTTTTAACTAAAATGTAGTGATAATTTAAAGATTGATTAAGATCAACCACATGCCTATTAGAAATACTCTCTAAAACACTCCGCAAGATCCCAAGTTGTTGGTCCAAATTTTGCTAACGATGAGTGTAATGGTAAAGGATGCCAAAATTTTGAAATTTCTGAATTGTGGTTAATTTCAGTTTTGCTTTTAAAGCCCTTATTACTTGCTTTTGATCTCGACTTTGTTTTTGTTTTTGAAGATTCTAAATTTCATCAACGGAGACAAACATTGACGCATGGTTATTTTGTAAGAAAAAGGCAACAATAGTCAATATTTTGTAAAACGTATGATAGTTTTTGTAAGATACCAAAAATGAATCATTATTTTGTAAAAAAGGCAACAAAAAGCAAAAATTAGCTTTTCCAAAGAAAAAAAAAACAGAATACGTCGTGTAACATTTGGAGAGACAATTTTATCGTTAAAATTTGATTTGATCCCGTCATAGTCAAAATTCACTCTTTATAAAAAAAAACTTTTCAAAAGAGAAACTAATAGAAATAGGAACAGCTTCATAACTTGTATACAACAACAACAACAAAAGAAGGCTTAAATGAGGATGCACAGGACGTCAAAGTTGTATCTAGTTATTTTACTAATTAGGAGTCTTTTTTTTTAAACTAAATTTACATAAGACTGTTGACGTCCCTAAACAAAAAAGCTAGCTAACACGGGGCAATACAATAGTGATTCTTGCTAAAAAAACAGACGGTAGACCGAACGCGTTCGAGAAGAAAAAATGGAAAAAAGTTGAAGGATGTTAGAATAGTGGAGAAAATGTTATGTTATGATCTTCAAAATCCCAAATTTGATAATATATTTGTTGTAATTACCGAAGAAACAATTTTTAAGAGGTTATGGCTTTTGAAGAACTCTTGGGTTCTTTACAAACTTGCACTACAAAAAACAAAGTGATAGGATGAAAAACTTTCATTGAAAAATATAGCGACTAGCGTTGCAATGAACTAGTAATGAATAAAATTGTTAAATTATCTTTATGTTGCGAAAAAATAATAATTCTCTTTCTCAAAAAAAAAATTATCCAAAGACTTGATAAATTAAAAGAAAAAAAAATAGAGTTAAATGGTTGAATATCAGGATGACTTATTAATTAAAAGAATGAGAAGTAATGTTTCTAAATGAAGTAAATACAATAATGATATTTCATTCTAGACAAAGATACCCCTATAGCAGAGAGAAATAGATTTTGTAGAGCCCATATAATGCTCTTTTCAATGTATGTGATAGAATATTAAAAAATACAATATAAATTTTGTAAGATATTTAGCAACACCCAGCCAATTGATCATGACCGTCCATTATAGCAGATAAAATCTGTATAGATTTCTGTAATATATTTTATTTCGATTAACGTAAAAAAACTACAGAATTTATCTTTTGTTATCGGGTAACTTGATAGTGGCAATTAATTCAATTATCAACAACTAAAATAGTCAACGGAAAGGTGAGATTCTTTTGTGTTGTATTAGTTATCTATTATTTCTGGATTATCTGTATAAGGAAGTTATTTAACATTTATGTTGTAAAATGTGATAACTAAGTTATTGTTAACATGTAACTCTGGTATGAAGATAACTTTTAATGTTAACTGTCAAAATATAATAAATATAAATAAGTACCCTCTTATTTTAAAATATTATTAAAGAGAATAATATAAAAATATATATACATACATCAGAAACATAATGAGGGCAATAAAATAATGATAACTGTGTATTTATGTGTGCAGATAACTTGTTTGGGTGGGTAATGGCGAATGTTAATGCAAATATACCATGTACATAGACTTCAGAGACGGCTACTAATGTCAATTGCAAAAACATATCACTTACCGGTGGATACTAACTAAAAGTGTAAAGTTAATATCAATAAATAGAAACCTGATTTCTCCCTTAAAAAAAACAAGTCTATTAGCAGATAAATGTCATCCAAAGTTATCATCATAACTTAATGTTTTTATGTTAACAGATAACTTATTCAACACAATATTTATTAAAGTTATCTACGGTGAAAACTCTCATCTGGATGAGCTGCAGTCTCATGAATGATTAGAATGCTACAATCAACAAATTTTGATAGGT